CCCCTGCAGCCCCTTATCAAGCCCAGGGATCCCCCTGCAACCCTGTCCCAGCCCTTCCCCTCTCAGACACCCCAGCCCCCGCTTTTCCTTGACCGCGGCACCCCCTGCACCCCCACTCCTGCCTTCCCCAGCCCCCACCCACCACCTTCCTCAACACCGGGGCCCGTGCACCCCCTTTCCTGGGCACAGGGACCCCTTGGAACTTCCATTGCCCTCAGCCCCCTTTCCTTGACCTGGGACCCCCTGAACCTCCGTTCCTGGGCATGGAGACCCCCCTGCACCCCTGATCCGGGACTGGGACCCCTCCTGGACCCCCCCTCACGTGTTCTGGGACCCCCTGCACCCCTCCCCGCCCCTCCCGCCCTTCCCAGACCCCAGACCCGCCCTTTTCCTTCACCTTTGCACCCCAGATCTCCCAAATTTCCCTGTGCCCCCAGTTCTCCACTCCCGGCGCTTTTTTAAGGGGGTCCCAGGGGGTTCCAGGTGCTTCTCCGAGGGCTCCAGGGCGGTCGCAGCGGGGATCCAGAGGGATCCTGAGGGATTCTCTGGAATTCCCCCGTCCCCTCGCCCTGCCCGCCCTCCTCGGTCCCTTTCGCTTCCGCGTCCCAACCTGCGAGACCGGGATCTGCCCGGCGACCGGTGACGTCACTGAGCAATCGGGCTGCCATTGGCAGAAAAGAAATAGCGGCGCCAATGGCGGGGCCGGAGGCGGCTCTGGGGGCGGGGCCAGTGTTGAGGCGGGGCCAGGGCGGTAGGCGGGGTCAGGGCTGTGAGCGGGGCCGCAGCGGAGCAGCGCCATGGCTGCAGCGCTGGCTCTGGGGCTGCTCTTGGGGCTCCTGGGGAACCCGGGGGGCGCGACCAAAGGTGAGTGGGAACCCCGAAACCGGGAATACCCTGAACTTCCATTTCCGGGCACCGGGACCCCCCTGAACTTCTATTCCCGGGCACGGGAACCCCCCATAGCCCCATTTTGGGTCCTGTGACGCCTCGCCATCCCCTTCCCCAGCACCGGGACCCCCCTGTACCCCCTCATCTGGCAGCGGGACCCCCCAGAAGCCCATTCCTGGGCAGGGAAACCCCCCTGAACCGCCATTCCCGGGCATGAGAATCCACTGAGCCCCCATTCCTGAGCACGGGGACCCCTTGAGCGCCCATTTCGTGACACTGGGGACCCACTTGAACCCCGAATTCCGGGTAGAGAATCCCCTGAAGCCCCATTCCTGGGCACTGGGACACCCCTGAATCTCCATTTCCGGGCACTGGGACCCCCCTGTGCCCCCTTTGGCAGCACCGGGACCCCCTTGTTCGCCCTCATCTGGCACCAGGACCCCCTGAACCCCCATTTCTGGTCACCGGCGGCCCCGGAACCCCCATTTTTGTGCACCGGGACGCCCCTGCCCTCCCTAATTCGGCACTGGGATCCCCCCGCACCCCCGTCAGTGCTCTGGGACCCCCTGCACCCCCATTCCCGCCCATCCCGCTCTTCCCAGACCCCAGACCCGCCCTTTTCCTCGGCTTTTGGACCCCCAGACCTCCCAAATTTCTGCTTCCCCCCCGTTCTCCATTCCCGGTGCTTCCTGGAAGGGGTTCCAGGGGTTCCCCGAGGTTCCCCGGGGGTCCCAGGGGGTCTCAGCGAGGATCCAGTGGGATCCAGATGAATTCCCTGGAATTCCCCTTTTCCCCGTCTCGATTTCCCTTCTCCCAAGCTTCGTCCCCGGGATCCGCCTGCCTCTCCCAGCCCCAGAGCCCCCTTTCCGTGACCCAGGGACCCCCTGGAGCCCCATTCCTGCCTTTCCCAGCTCCCAGACCCCACTGCCCTCAACACTGGAGACTCCTGGATCCCCTTTGGTGGGCACAGGGACCCCCTGGATCCCCCATCCCGCCTCTCCCAGTCCCTTCCTTGAACCTTGGACCCTTCCCGGCTCTCCTGGTTCTGCTTGCTGATCCTTGGACATCCCCAGGGGGTTCAGGAGGGTCCCTGGGTGGTTGTGGAGGTTCCAGGGGGGATTCTGGGCTCTAAGACTGCCCTGAATTTCCAGTCCTGGGTACTGGGATCGCCCTGCACCCCCTTATCCTGCACCAACACCCCCTGCACCCCCTTATCCTGCACCAACACCCCCTGCACCCCCTTTCCCGGGTATCCTCCTCTCCCAGCCCCTGGATCCCCCGTTTCCGGGACCCCGGGGACCCCCGGGCCCCCATTCCCGGCCAGCCCGGGCACCTCAGCCCCAGCCTCCCTTTGCTGGGAAACCCGGCCTGGGCACGCGGCTCTGCGGCCGCTCTGGGATTTATGATCCCCCAGAAGAAAGGGAGAGAACAGCAGAGGGAGGGAGAGAAGGAGATTGGGAATCAGGGCTCGGGTCCCAGCGCCCAGCCCTGCTCCGCCGGGGGTGGGACCCGCACCCGCAGGAAAAATTGGCTCCGCTGCTCCCGATGCTTGCCCGGCTTTGGGCCGAGCCCAGCGGGGTCCGGGGCAGAGTTTGAGCGCAGGGCCGGGAGCTCAGCACAGCCCGGCCCGGGGGTCCCGCAGGGCGCGGCCCTGGAGGGTCCCAGACGGATCCCCGAGGGATCCAGAGGGGTGCCAGGAGGGGATCCAGGTGAATTCCCTGGAACTCGCCCTTTCCCCCTCCCCCTTTTCCCCTCCCCACGCGCTCCCTCAGGCACTTTCGCTTTTGCGTCTCTCCAGCTGCGCCACAGCCGCGATCAGGGTCGGCTGCGATGGCGCCAGCGCTGGGGCTGGGGGTGCTCTGGGGGCTCCTGGGGCTCCTGGGGAACCCAGGGTGTGCGACCAAAGGTGAGCGGGACCCCCCGAAACCGGGACCCCCCTGAACCGCAATTCCCGGGCACCGGGACCCCCCCGAACTTCCATTTCCGGGCACCGGGAACCCTCTAAACCTCCATTCCCGGGCAGGGAACCCCCCTGAACCCCCATTTTGGGTCCTGTGAACGCCCTCAATCACCTTCTCCACCACCGGGACCCCCCTGTACGCCTTTATCTGGCACCGAGACCCCCCTGAACCCCCATTTCTGAGCAGGAAAACCCCCCTGAACCCCCGTTCCTGAGCACGCGGACCCCCTTGAGCGCCCATTTCTGGCCACCCAGACACCCCTGTTCCCCCTTTGGCAGCACCGGGACCCCCTTGTTCGCCCTCATCTGGCACCAGGACCCCCTGAACCCCCATTTCTGGTCACCGGCGCCCCCGGAACCCCTATTTTGGGGCACCAGAACCCCTTGAACCCCGAATTCCGGGAAGGAAATTCCCCCTGAACCCGCATTCCTTGGCACGGAAACCCTCTGAACCCCAATATTTGGACACCGGGACGCCCCTGCCCCCCCTAATTCAGGACTGGGATCCCCCCGCACCACCGTCACTGCTCTGGGACCCCCTGCACCCCCATTCCCGGCCATCCCGCCCATCCCAGACCCCAGACCCGCCCCTTTCCTTGGCTTTTGGACCCCCAGATCTCCCAAATTTCTGAAATTTCTGCGTCCCTCCAGTTCTCCATTCCCAGCGCTTCCTGGAAGGGGTTCCAGGGGTTCCCCGAGGGTCCCCCGGGGTCCCAGGGGGTCTCAGCGAGGATCCAGTGGGATCCAGATGAATTCCCTGGAATTCCCCTTTTCCCCGTCTCGCTTTCGCTTCTCCCAAGCTGCGACCCCGGGATCCGCCCGCCTCTCCCAGCCCCAGAGCCCCCTTTCCGTGACCCAGGGACCCCCTGGAGCCCCATTCCTGCCTTTCCCAGCTCCCAGACCCCACTGCCCTCAACACCGGGGACCCCTGGACCCCCTTTGGTGGGCACAGGGACCCCCTGGATCCCCCAGCCCGCCTCTCCCAGTCCCTTCCTGGAACCTTGGACCCTTCCCGGCTCTCCCGGTTCCGCTTCCCGGCTCTCGGACGCCCCCAGACCGCCCAATCTCTGCGTGCCCCCAGTTCTCCACCCCCTGTGCGTCCTGCGGGGATGTCCTGGCAGGTCCCGGGGGGCGTTCAGGGGAATTCCCAGGGTTTGCTCTGTCCCCTCTCCCTCCCTGTGCTGCCCCGGTCACTTTCGCGTCTCCCAAGCTGCGGCACCGGGACCCGCCCGGGGACCGGGGACTGCCCCGGCACCGGGACCCCCCTGAACCGCAATTCCTGGGCACGGGGACCCCCCGAACTTCCATTTCCAGGCGAACCCCCCTTCCTGGGCACAGAGACCGCCTTGAACGCTAATTTTGGGGCACTGGGAGCCTCCCTGTGCCCCCTTCCCCAGCCCCGATAATCCCTGCAGCCCCTTATCCAGCCCCAATGCCCCCCCCAAACCCCCTGTCGCAGCCCTTCCCCTCTCAGACACCCCAGCCCCCGCTTTTCCTTGACCCCGGCACCCCCTGCACCCCCACTCCTGCCTTCCCCAGCCCCCACCCACCACCTTCCTCAACACCGGGGGCCCGTGCACCCCCTTTCCTGGGCACAGGGACCCCTTGGAACTTCCATTGCCCTCAGCCCCCTTTCCTTGACCTGGGACCCCCTGAACCTCCGTTCCTGGGCATGGAGACCCCCCTGCACTCCCTAATCCGGGACTGGGACCCCTCCTGGACCCCCCCTCACGTGTTCTGGGACCCCCTGCACCCCTCCCCGGCCCTGCCGCCCTTCCCAGAGCCCAGACCCGCCCTTTTCCTTCACCTTTGCACCCCAGATCTCCCAAATTTCCCGATCCCCTCAGTTCTCCACTCCCGGCGCTTTTTTAAGGGGGTCCCAGGGGGTCCCAGGTGGTTCTCCGAGGGCTCCAGGGCGGTCGCAGCGGGGATCCAGAGGGATCCTGAGGGATTCTCTGGAATTCCCCCGTCCCCTCGCCCTGCCCGCCCTCCTCGGTCCCTTTCGCTTCCGCGTCCCAACCTGCGAGACCGGGATCTGCCCGGCGACCGGTGACGTCACTGAGCAATCGGGCTGCCATTGGCGGGCAGGAAACAGCGACGCCAATGGCGGGGCCGGAGGCGGCTCTGGGGGCGGTGCCAGTGTTGAGGCGGGGCCAGGGCTGTGGGCGGGGCCGCAGCGGAGCAGCGCCATGGCTGCAGCGCTGGCTCTGGGGCTGCTCTTGGGGCTCCTGGGGAACCCGGGGGCCGCGACCAAAGGTGAGTGGGAACCCCGAAACCGGGAACCGCCTGAACTTCCATTTCCGGGCACCGGGACCCCCCTGAACTTCTATTACCGGGCACGGGAACCCCCCCATAGCCCCATTTTGGGTCCTGTGACCCGCCTCCATCCCCTTCCCCAGCAACGGGACCCCCCCTGTACCCCCTCATCTGGCACCGGGACCCCCCAGAAGCCCATTCCTGGGCAGGGAAACCCCCCTGAACCGCCATTCCCGGGCATGAGAATCCACTGAGCCCCCATTCCTGAGCACGGGGACCCCTTGAGCGCCCATTTCGTGACACTGGGGACCCACTTGAACCCCGAATTCCGGGTAGAGAATCCCCTGAAGCCCCATTCCTGGGCACTGGGACACCCCTGAATCTCCATTTCCGGGCACTGGAACCCCCCTGTGCCCCCTTTGGCAGCACCGGGACCCCCTTGTTCGCCCTCATCTGGCACCAGGACCCCCTGAACCCCCATTTCTGGTCACGGGAGCCCCCGAAACCCCCATTTTCGGGCACCAGGAACCCCTTGAACCCCGAATTCCGGGAAGGAAACTCCCCCTGAACCCGCATTCCTTGGCACGGAAACCCTCTGAACCCCAATTTTTGGGAACCGGGATCCCCCTGCCCCTCCTAATTCGGGACTGGGCTCCCCCGCACCCCCGTCACTGCTCTGGGACCCCCTGCACCCCCATTCCCGGCCATCCCGCTCTTCCCAGACCCCAGACCCGCCCTTTCCCTCGGCTTTTGCACCCCCACATCTCCCAAATTTCTGCATCTTCCCATTCTCCATTTCTGGCACTTCCTGGAAGGGGTTCCAGGGGTTCCCCGAGGGTCTCCTGGGGGTCCCAGGGGGTCTCAGCGAGGATCCAGTGGGATCCAGATGAATATCCTGGAATTCCCCTTTTCCCCGTCTCGCTTTCGCTTCTCCCAAGCTACGTCCCCGGGATCCGCCCGCCTCTCCCAGCCCCAGAGCCCCCTTTCCGTGACCCAGGGAGCCCCTGGAGCCCCATTCCTGCCTTTCCCAGCTCCCAGACCCCACTGCCCTCAACACCGGGGACCCCTGGACCCCCTTTGGTGGGCACAGGGACCCCCTGGATCCCCCATCCCGCCTCTCCCAGTCCCTTCCTTGAACCTCGTGCCCTTCTGACTCTCCTGGTTCTGCTTCCTGATCCTTGGACATCCCCAGGGGGTTCAGGAGGGTCCCTGGGTGGTTGTGGAGGTTCCAGGGGGGATTCTGGGCTCTAAGACTGCCCTGAATTTCCAGTCCTGGGTACTGGGATCCCCCTGCACCCCCTTATCCAGTACCTCTCCCTCCCTGCACCCCCTTTCTCCTCAGTCCTGCCTTCCCCTGTCCCCAGACCACTCTTTTCCTTGTCCCTGAGACCCCCTGGAGCCCCATTCTTGCTTTTCCCCACCCCCAGCCTCCCCTTTCTTCTCCATCAAGGACCCTCAAGATTCCTATTCCCAGGTCCTCCCACCTTGTGACCCCTTTCCTTGGCACAGGGATCCCCTGGAGCCCCCATCCTGCCTCTCCCAGTCCCTGTATCCCCCTTTCCATAACCCTGGAACCCCCTGAGCCCCCATTCCTGGACACCAGGACCCCCTGCAGGCCCTTTCCTGTCCATCCCACCTCTCCCACCCTGCACACCCTTTCCTTGGCTCCAGGATCCCCAAACCCCTTCCCAGCTCTCCCAGTTCCCCTTTCATTGATCCATGATCCCCTCAATCCCCCCAAATCTCTGTGTCCCCCCAGTTCTCCACTCCCTGCGTTACCTGTTCGTGGCGGTGTCAGAGCCCAGCCCGGGGATCCCCCAGTTCATGTTCATTGGGTACCTGGATGGGATCCCCTTCGTGCGCTACGACAGCGAGCGGGGCCGGGCAGAGCCGCTGACACAGTGGATGAAGGATGGAGCCGAGCAGGAATATTGGGAGAGGGAGACCCAGATCAGTGTGAGGAACCAGCACATCGATGCCAGGAACCTGGAGATACTGCGGGAACGATACAACCAGAGCAGGGGTGAGTGGGGGGAGCTGTGGGGCTGGGATGGGATCAGTGGGGACAGGTTGGGATCCATGGGGTTGAGTTGTAGATCCATGGGGCTGGGATGGGATCTGTGGGGTTGGGATTGGATCCACGGAGCTGGGATGTGGACCATGGGGTTGGGATGTGGATCCATGGGGCTCCAAGGGGCTGGGATGAGGCTCTGTGGGTCTCCATCAGACTGTGGGGCTCCATAGGGCTGGAATGGGGCTCTGTGGGGCTGGGACACAATTCCATGGGTCTCTGTGGGTACAATCCCCCCAGGTCTCCACACAAGGTTGAGAGTTTATGGCTGTGACCTCCTGTCCGATGGGAGTGTCCGTGGATCCTACCAGAATGGCTACGACGGACGGGATTTCATCTCCTTTGACCTGGGATCCGGGAGATTCGTGCCAGCCGACAGCGCTGCTGAGATCACCAGGAGGCGCTGGGAACAGGAAGGGACCGAGGCTGAGAGGTGGACAAATTACCTGAACCACATCTGCCCTGAATGGCTCCGGAAATACGTTGGCTACGGGCAGAAGGAGCTGGAGCGCAAAGGTGGGAGCAGAATTCCTGTGGGGATTTGGGATTTGGGAATGGAGGACTTGGGAACACAATAATTCCTGTGGGAATTCCATGGGTAGATCTCACCCCCATGCCATTCCTATGAAATTCCATGATCAGATTTCACTCCCATCCCATTCCCATGGAATTTCATGGGCAGATCTTGCCCCCATCCCATTCCCATGGAATTCTGTGGTCAGATCTCCCCTCCATCCCACTCTTGTGGGAATTCCATGGTCAGATCTCACCCTAGTCCCATTCCCATGGAATTCCATGGATGTCCATTACCATTATTCCATTCCAGTGCCCCCTGATGTCCACGTGTCCGGAAGAGAGGAACACAGGACGCTGATCCTGTCCTGCCACGCGTACGGATTCTACCCCAACACCATCGCAGTCAGCTGGATGAAGGGGGGTGAAACCTTGGATCAGGAGACGGAGTGGGGCGGGATCGTTCCCAACAGCGACGGCACCTTCCACACCTGGGCCAGGATCGAGGCGCTGCCGGAGGAGCGGGAGCAGTACCGGTGCAGGGTGGAGCATCCCGGAATGCCAGAGCCCGGGATCTTCGCTTGGGGTGAGGCTGGGAGTGTGGGGATTGGGAATTTGGAATTCCTAAATGGGGATTCCCCTTCCCCTCCTCACTATCCCACGTTTCCCAGAGCCGACATCTGGCGGGAATCTCACCGTGGTGGTCGCTGTGTCTGTCATCGCTGCCATCCTCATCCTCATCTTCATTGGATTCATTGTCTGGAAGCTCCAATCCGGTAACACATGGGATGGGGGTCGGGAAGGGACACGGATCCACCCAGCACCGTTCTGGGAATCCTGTGCCACCGATGCTGATTCCACTTTGTTTCCACAGGGAGGAGGGACAGGAATGGATACAACCCAGCAGCCGGTGAGTTCCAATGGCGGATCCAGCTCTGGATCCCCTCTGTGTGGATCCCAGGATGGATCCTGGGGTTAATCCCAGCGTGTGATCCATGCTGGAATCTCATGGATCTTCTCTTTCTGCAGGAAAAGATGTGGGAACCAATGGCTTGAGCACAGGTACGGAGCAGGATCAGGGTGGGATTCCAGAGAGGGATCAGGGCAGGATGAATGGAATGGGATCAAGGAGGGATTCTGGATCAGAGCAGGGTCCAGAGTCAGATCAGGGGGAATTGTAGAGTGGGATTTGGGCTGGATTGTGGAGCAGGATCAGGAGGGATGGAATGGAGCAGGATCAGGTTGGGATTCCAGAGAAGGACTGGGGCAGTATGGATGGGGTGGAATGGGGTGGGATGGATGGATGGATGGATGGATGGATGGATGGATGGATGGATGGATGGATGGATGGATGGATGGATGGATGGAGCAGGGCTGGGGCAGAATGGATGGAGTGGGATCAGGTGGGATGGATGGAGCAGGATTGCAGCAGGATTGGTGTGGGATCACGTGGGATTCTGGAGCAGCTCCTGCTCTCCATGGGCTCCAGCCAGATCCATCCTGTGGAATGGGGACAGGGACAGGGTGACACTGTGACCCTCTCTCATCCTGGCAGGAATCACTGCCTGAGCGATCCATGGAGCTGGATCCAGCCTCCTCCCTCTTCCTGGGAAAGCTGAGAGCTGCCAGCAGAGCTCATCCCACTGCTCCCACCCACCCCACAGCTCTTGCTAACAGATCCATTTCCCATTTTCCAATGTTTTAAAGGCAAGAACCACAAATATTCACAATGCTTCACTTCTGGTGTGAAATTATCCTGCTTTGGGCAATAAATCCTGCTTGGGGCAATAAATCCAGGTTCCCACCTCCAGTGTCTGGCAGTTCATCTCTGGGAGCCAGGAATGGGAATGGGGTCACTGGGACAGAGATGGAGACACTGGGAGCAGGGATGGGGACACGAGGAACTGGGATAGGGGAAGCAAGAGCAGGATGGGGACACCAGGACTGGGATGAGGATGCCAGGAGCAGGACAGGGACTCCCGGAACAGGATGGGGACACCAGGAGCAGGATGGGGACACCAGGAGCAGGATGGGGACACCAGGAGCAGGATGGGGACTTGCCAGCCATGCTCCATCCCCCGGGATTCATTTCCTGCTCTGTGTCCCATGTCTGAGGTGTCCCCAGGAGGGTTTGGCTGCATTGGGCTCCTGGAGGGGCAGTGAGATGGGGGGAGGGGTCAGGCCAGGCCTCATTGTCCCCAGTGGTCCTTGAGTGTCCCAAAATCAGGGCTCGGGATCTCGGAGAGGTTCCCTGGCCATGATCACAGCCATGACACAAGCACGAGATGGCCATGAGATGAGAATGACCATGAGTGACACAACCCTGAGATGACCATGGGATGACCATGACTGTGACCATGACACAACCACAACCCTGACCATGAGATGATTTGGACCAAGAGATGACTGTGGGTTGGCCATGGCACAACTGTGGCCTTGAGGTGACCATGTGTCATGGTTTGACACTGGCACAATGCCAGTGCCCCCATGAGTATGCCCTCTCCCTGGTAGCTGCTGTGAGATGTGACCAGGAATAAGCAAAGCAGGCTCCTACTTAGGGAAGAAAACAAAACAGAACTTTATTAACTACTCTACAACTACAAATAAAAAGGAACACACACACAGGGAAAATGAAAACCTTACAAATGCATTTCCTCCTCCCCCCACCCAATTTCCAACACAATACATCTATTCCTCAAATCACCAACTCTCGGTCCAGCACCACCTTTTAGACAATCAATCCTCAGTTCATCAAGAGGAGAGGAGTCCTTTTTGTACCATGGGCTTCCCCTGGAAACACAGCTGAAGCCTCATGCGTTTCTGTGTCACTCGTGGCACCGCCCGGAGTACATCTGCCATTGTGACCTCTTCCTTTCATGTCCAGTGCTCTCACCACTGAACATGGACCAGAGCTGCTTCTGGGGTTGTCTTTTTAAGGATGCTCTGTCCCGATCCAAAAAAGGCACAGTCTCTCCTTTGGGACACCTGTCCCCACAGTCTCTCCTTTGGGACACCTGTCCCCCCCATATTTTTTCACCCCCTGGGGCCGAGGGGCACCAACACTGAACCCTCTTGGTTCTGTGGCCATTGCCTCCCCCTAGAATGCAGTCTCTGTGTCACAAGGAACATGGTTCTGTCCATGGCTGTACAAAAAGAGTCCAGCAAAAGCCACTCCATCATCTCTTCCCACTAGGATTCTTCTCTATTCTTCCACTATTTCTCACTCGCCCAGAGCTCTCTCACACTTGCACATTTCCTTCCTCATCTTCCACTCTATCTTCCAGGAGAGGTCAATGATCTGTAAAGTTCTCATTCTCCGAAAGGGGTTAAAAGCTCCTACAAGCGGCTTGGCTGCACCCCCCCCTTCTTCTCCGTCCCAGCTGTGCTGCCGGCACAGGCCCATGTTTATCCATGTTTATCCAGTCTCAAGGTTACAGTCCCAGGCACCGGCTCTCTCTCTCTCTTTCTCTCTCTCTCTCTCTCTCTCTCTCTCTCTCTCTCTCTGTGTCTCTCAGGGGGGGCTGCCCAATGGCTCCCGGTGTCTCTCTCTCTCTCTTCCACCCTTCCACCCCGGGGCTCAGGCCTAACTCTCCCGGCCACATGGCTTTTCCCCTCCCCCTGCCCAGCCAGCAGCTGGGCCGGGGCAGAGACCCGAACTCTTTCCCGCCGGAAACCCAAAAAAAGGACCCTCCCAGGGGAGAGCTCTGCTTTTAACCCCGTGTTCTCAGAGGCGGATCCATGTCCTAATGGCCAGGTTAAATGCCAATATTAAAGCCTGAATATCCATTGGCCAAAAACACAGCATCCCCAAAAACACATTTCCTGTCAAACCACCACACCATGAAGTGACAATGACATGATCATGAGATGACCATTACAGTGAGATGACCCTGAGCATGAGATGATGGTGATCAGGAAATGACCATGACCATGTGAAGGCCATGAGATGACTGTGACCATGAAATGATCACCACCATATGGCCCAACCACAGCTGAGAGATGGCCATGATAAGATTGTGGCAAATGAGTTGAATGTGAGATGATCATAAAATGACCATGACAATGCAATGACCATGACCGTGACCATGACACAACCAGGACCATGGGATGACCAATACAATGAGATGACCATGAGCAGGAAATGATTGTGACCAAGAGATGACCATGAGATGAGATCAAAACACACCATGGCCATGTGTGATCATGGTCATGACATGACCGTGAGATGACCATTACAGTGAGATAACCATGAGAATATGGTGATGGTCATCAGGAAATGGTCATCAGGAAATGACCATCACCATGAGATGGCCATGAGATGACCATGACCATGACACAACCATGATCATAAGATGACCACTACAGTGAGATACAACTGTGACCATGAGATTATAGTGACCAAGACATGACCACAATGCAACCATGGCCATGTGGCGATCAAGGCCATGAGATCACCTTGACTGTGACCATATTACAACCACAACCATGAAATGATCAAGATCATGACAAGATTCAAGAGCTGACCAAGAGATAACCATGACCATGACACAACCACAGATGTAAGATGACCATGATGTGATTGTGGCCATGAGTTGACCATGAGGTAACAATGAGATGACCATGACATGGCCATGAGATGACGATGACATGACTGTGAGCATGTGATAACTGTGACCAAAGACCATGAAATGACCACAACACATTATGGCCATGTGGTGATCAAGGCCATGAGACAATTGTGAGATGACCACAATCATGACATGATTATGACCATGAGATGATCGTTACAATGAGATGACCATGACCATGGAATACCCATGACTGTGACACAACCATTGCTTTGATGATGTGATTGTGACCATGAGATGACCATGAAATGACCATGAGATGATCATGACTAAATTATGGCCATGGGGTGATCAAGACCATGAGATGACCTTCACCATGCAATGACCATGACACAACCATGACCTTGAGATGACCATTACAGTGAGATGACAGTGAGCATGAGATGACGGTGATCAGGAGATGACCAAGAGCATGAGATGTTTGAGATTAGGAGATGAACACAATATAACCATGGCTATGAAATTATTGTGGCCACAGGTGACCACAACCATGAGATAATGGTGATAAAAAGATGATTATGAACACGAGATGACCATGACCATGAGATGACCATGACCATAACCATGATATTAATTTGACAGAACTATGACCATGACTGTGACCATGACTATGAGATGATGGTAATCAGGAATGATATGAGCATTATGGTGAGTTGATTATGAGCATGAGATGATGATGATCAAGAATTGACCATAACCATCATGGTGACACCATGACTGTGATGGGGACACGACTACAACTGTGACATGACCATGAGAATGAGATATTGAGATCAAGAGATGACCACGAGATGACCATGACTATGACCATGACACAACCATGGCCATAAGGTGACAAAGAAATGTCCATGAGTATGACCATGACATAACAATGACTGTGAGATGACCATGGCCGTGGGGAATTGTGACCAAGAAATGACCACAACATGACCATGACCATAACATGATCCTGACCATGAGATGACCATGAGCATGAGATGATTCTGACCATGACACAATCGCGGCCGTGAGATGACCATGATACAATTATGGCCATGAGCTGACCATGAGCTGACCACGACCCGGCCATGGTCTGGAGCTCCCCAGACCCCGTCACTGCCCTCACCTCCAGGCTCATCCTTCACTTAAATTGTTCATTTCCCATGGAAAAGACGGAAATCTGAGCAGGGCGCAGCCAATGGAGCGCCGGGAAATCAGGGACGTCACAGGTTGCCAGGCAGAACAGATTTCCCCTACCCGCCCTTGGCGCGGCAGCCAATGGGAAACCGCGTGTTTGGTGACGTCACCGCGCTAATGCGGAAGTGGCGAGCGCGGGGGCTGCCGGGATCGGGGCGGCGGTCGCGGATCGCGATTGATCCCGATTGGCTCCGATCGATCCCGACTGATCCCCATCGATTCCCATCGATCCCCATCGGCTCCCATCGATCCGCGGCCCTTCCCCGCCGCGATGTTCTTCACCTGCGGCCCCAACGAGGCCATGGTGGTGTCGGGTGAGTTCGGGGGGCCCGGGGGCTCCTGGTGACCCTCAGAATTCCTGGGAACCCCGAAATCCCCTCAGAATTTCCCGGGAACCCCCAGAATTCCCCCCAAAAACCCTTCCAGGACCCTCGCCCGCGCCCTTCAATCTCCTGGGAACCCCCGGAATTCCCCAAAAACTCCTGGGACCCCCCAGAATCTCTCCCCTCAAAATCTCCTGGGAACCCCCAAAATCCTCCCAAAACCCTCCAAGGAACGCCCAGAATTATCCCCAAAACTCCTGGGAACCCCCCCCCCCCCGGACCCCCAAACTCACCCTGGGACTCATTGGACCGGACCCGTCCTAAGTCCCTAAACCCCTCCTGGGACCCCTCAAACCCCTCCCCGAGGGTCCCCCCCATCCATTCTGCCCCACCCCGGGACTCCTGGGGACTCCCCCCCAAATTTTCCCCCAGATTTTCCCCCCATATTCCCCCCTTCAAAACCCCTGAGGTCCCCCCTGACCACCCTAACCCCCTCCAAGCCCCTCCTGGGACCCCCCCAAAACCCGTTCCGGGGATTCCTGAGGGTGTCCCCGTTTCCCCCCGAGGTTTTGGGGTCCCCTCGGGGTTTCGGGTCCCCCCCAGCTCTCGGTGCCCCCCAGGTTTCTGCCGCAGCCCCCCGGTGATGGTGGCCGGGGGCCGGGTGTTGGTGATCCCGTGCCTGCAGCAGATCCAGCGGTGAGGAGGGGCCCGGGGGTTTTTTGGGGTTCGGGGTGGGGGGGCTTCCCCAGAGATTTGGGGTGATCTCCCCGGCCTCCCCAGGATCTCCCTGAACACGCTGACGCTGCCCGTGCGTAGTGAGAAGGTTTACACCCGCCACGGGGTGCCCATCTCCGTCACCGGCATCGCACAGGTACCCCTGGAACGACCCGAAAACACCCCGAAAATACCCCAAAAATACCCTCATGGACCCCAGAAAATCCCCCATCAGAACGGCCAAAAATCCCCAAAAGTCCCCCAAAATCCCCTCCTAGACCCCCAAAACAGCACAACCCCCCCCCTCAAAAATCCCCCCCCCCCAGAAAACACCCCCCCAGGAATCCCCCCAGAATTGCTTTCTGTGCCCCCAAAAATCCCCTCCTGGACTGCCAAAAATATCCTAAAAATCCCCCCAAAATCCCCTCTTTGGCTCCCGAAAATCCTCCCTCAGAATCCCCCAAAAGTCCCTTCCTTGACCCCCAAAACCCCCTAAAAAATCTCCCATCAAAACCCCAGAAATCCCCTCCTGGACACCCCAAAATCCCCCCTCGGAATCCCCAAAAATACACTCATGATCCCCCAAAATCCTTCCCGGGATCCCCAAAATTCCCCTCGGTACCTGCAACCCTCCCCAGACCCCAACACCCCACTGGGACCCCCAACAACCCCATTCAGAGCCCCCAAAAATCCACTCAGAACCCCCAAAATCTCTTTGGGAACCCTCAAAATTCCCCTCTGGAACCCCCAAAATTCCTCTGGGACCCCCCAAATCCCCCAAAACCCCCAAATATCTCACGTGGGTACCCCCAAAACCCCCTCGAGACCCCCAAACCGACACTCTGAAACCCCGAAATCTCCTTAGAACCTCCCAAAAATCATCCGGGACCCCCAATTATCCCCCAGGACCCCCCAAAACCCCCCCGGGGCTCCCCTGCCCGAACCAGCCGGGGTGGCATGGCCCTTTTAAGTGAGGTTGTTGTGGGGCCCACCTAAGGGCATTCTTAAAGCGGCGATGGTAGCGGGAAGCGCAATACAAATCAGGGGGAGGAAGGATTTAAAGGGGGTTTGGCGTGGTGGGGCCCACCGGAAACACTTGCAGGAGTTAAAAAGGCTCCCAGAAAGGGCATTTAGGGGTGAGGAATCCCTTGAAAGGAGCTCGAAGTTTTGGGGATCCCCAAATCCCTGGGATTAGAGGGGGAATCCTCCTTAAAAGAGGCTTGGAGTGGTGGGGACCCAAAAATTCCTTAAGAGGAGGAAAAACCCTTTAAAAATCCTTTAAAAAACCTTAAAAACATTTAAACTCCCTTTAAAGCCTTTATCAAAACTGTAAAAAATAAAAAAGGTTTGTGATGGGGCAGCCTTCCTAAACCCTTCTAAAAGGGGCCAAGGTCCAATCCTTAAAGTGGTTCTGGGTGGTGGGGACACCAAAATCCCACTGGAGGGTCTTGACTTCCCTTAAAAGGAGTTTTTGGTGGTGGGGACCCCTTTAAGAGGGGTAAGACCTCCCCAGAAATGGGCTGGGATTGGTGTGGATCCCCAAGCCCTCTCAAAGTGGATTATACTCTACAAAGGGCGCTACCCTGGTGGTCCCCACCCTATCAATCAAACGTAAAAAGGCAATGCCACACCTACCCCTGAAAGGGGCCATGCCAATTTTGGGGGGTCCCAGGGGTGGCTGGGGGGGTCCCAGGTGATCCCAGCTCCCCCACAGGTGAAGATCCAGGGGCAGAACAAGGAGATGCTGGCAGCTGCCTGCCAGATGTTCCTGGGCAAGTCGGAGAGCGAGATCGGCCAGATCGCCCTGGAGACGCTGGAGGGCCACCAGCGCGCCATCATGGCCCACATGACTGTGGAGGTGGGGCTGGGGGAAGCCACGCCCCTCCCAGGAGAGACACACCCATTTGGGATCCAACCAATGCCCCCCATTTGGGATGGGACATGGCCCCTTTAAGAAATCCCAGATCTCAGAAGCCACGCCCCCATTGTGCCATCCTGGATTGACTCACCCCCTCAGGGGGAAGTTGCCATCTCCCCTTGGGCTGGGATGTGGCTCTTTAAGAGACTTCTCCCCCATTTGACCCATAAGCTCCACCCCTTGAAAGCCCCCACCCCTGGAGGAGGCCACACCCCCTGTAAAGCCACACCCACAATATGTCACCCTTTTGCTAAAGCCCTGCCCACCAGCACAAGATCCTCCTTCCCTCTAAAGCCATGCCCACTCCTGCCCCACCCCTACCCTAAGCCCCACCTCTCTTCTTGACCCTGCCCCAGTATAAGCCCCACCCTGTCTCGAAGCCACACCCACCAGACTCCACCCCGTGACTCGAGCCATGCCCCTGCATCAAGTCCTGTCCCTGCCTTAGTCGTGTCCTCACCCCTCAATTTAGGTCACACCCGCTTTGCTGAAGCCACATCCCACCTTAAACCTGATCTCTTTCTGCTTAAGCCACACCCGCAGAACCAAACCACGCCCCTAAGATCAAAGCCACACCCCCAGATAGCACTTCTCCTACCTGGCACCACCCATTGTCTCAAGCAACGCCCCCTGGATAAACCACACCCACCATCCCTGTGCCTTTTCTCTGCTAAGCCCCACCCCAATAAGCCTGGCCCAATTTAAACTCCACCCCCTTGGGCCCCCCTCCCCCCACTAAGCCCTGGCCCACTGAGCTTCACCCCTGCCCTGCAATGTCCCACCCTATTTGAGCCCCACCCTGCTAAGCCCCACCTACTTGATCCCCACCCCTCTAAGCTCCACCCCTTTGAGCCCCGCTCCGTTGAGCCCTGCCTAATTTGAGCCCCACCCTACTAAGCCTTGCCCCTTTTAGCCCCACCCCACTGAGCCCTGCCCAACTTAACCCCCACTCTTGGGCCCTACCCAGCCAAGCCCCACCCCCATTTGAGCCCCGCCCTGCTAAGCCCCACCCCGGCCCCGCCCAGGAGATCTACAAGGACCGGCAGAAGTTCTCGGATCAGGTTTTCCGCGTGGCCTCCTCTGACCTGGTGAACATGGGCATCTCCGTGGTCAGCTACACCCTCAAGGACGTGCACGACGAGCAGGTGATGCACCTGGGCATGGCTGGGGACAGCTGGGGACACATGTGGGGACACCTGGCATACCTGGGGACAGCCAGGATACACCTTGGATGCAGCTGGGAGCAGCTGGGGAAAGCTGGGACACACCTGGGACATAACTGAGACGCTCAGGACACATCTGGGACACACTTGGAGATGCCCGGGGACAAGATGGGGACACCTGGGATACACCTGGGCACAGCTGGGACAGCTGGGGGAGGCTAATACACACCTGGGATACATCTGGGGGGATGGGGTGACACAGGTGTGACACAGGTGTGACAGGGAGGTGACAGGGGTGTGACATAGGTGATAGGGAGGTGACAAAGGTGTGACACAGGTGTGACAGAGAGGTGGCACAGGTGTGACAGGTGTGTCTCCGTGCAGGGTTACCTGCACTCCCTTGAGAAGGGCGGCACAGCGCAGGTGCAGGGGTGACACAGATGGGGACTCAGGTGTGACAGGGAAGAGACACAGGTGTGGCATGGGTGACAGGGAGGTGGCACAGGTGTGACAGGTGTGTCCCCGTGCAGGATTACCTGCGCTCCCTCGGGAAGGGCCGCACGGCGCAGGTGCAGCGCGACGCCCGCGTGGGAGAGGCCGAGGCCAAACGTGACGCCGGGATCCGCGTGAGTGACTCCGGGGACATTGGGGACATTGGGGACACCCCTGGAGACACACCTGGGGGCAGCTGGGTCACCTTCCTGTCAGTCACCCCCCACTATTCCCAGTGCCCTCCAGTGCTCTCCCTGTGGGTTCCAGTTCATCCCAGTGTCCCCAGTACCCCATTCCCCAAACTGCCCCAGTAGCCCCAGTACTCTCCCATTACCCCACTAATCCCACTCCAGCACCTCCCAGTTCTTGTCCAGCTCCTCCCAGTACCCTCAGTACCCCAGTCCCTCCCAAGTGCTCCCAGTGCCTTTCTAGTCCCATTCCAGTTCCTCCCAGTCTCTCCCAGTACCCCCAGTACCCCCATTCCCCAAGTGCCCCAACACCCCCCGTACACCCAGTGCTCCCAGCACCCCATTCCCCAGTCCCTCCCAGTCCCATCCCTGTGCTCTCCCAGTCCCTCCCAGTCCCTCCCAGTGCCGCTGTCCCCACAGGAGGCGCGGGCACGGCAGGAGCAGGTGTCGGCGCAGCTGCTGAGCGAGGAGGCCACGGCGCGAGCCCAGCGCGACTTCCAGGTGGCCCAGGCTGAGTGTGATGGAGCCGTCAGCGCCCGCAGGGCCACGGCTGAGCTGGCCTTCCAGCTGCAGGTGAGGCCACAGCTGGACAGGGAACACAGCTGGGACAGGGAGCAAACACACCTGGGACAGGTAACACCTGGGAGTGTCACAGGGCCATGGCCTATCTGGTGTTTCAGTTACAGGCAACTCACACATCTGGGGATAGGTAGCAAACACACCTGGGGGGGCTAGAATGGGGCCTGGAAGCTCACCTGGAACCTTCCAGAACACCTGGAACCTCCAAATGCTGGGGTTTTCTCCCAAATTTGGGTCTCTTGGGTCACGTGAGGATGCCCCCAGCCTGCCTGAGCTCCCCCTAGAGATACCTGGCCACCCTGCCTGGTGTCACCTGTCCCCCTTCTCCCTCCCCTGATGTATTTGTGACCTGTCCCCCCATCCCCGTGTCCCCCATCCCTGTGTCTCTCCCTTGATGGGTTTGTTACCTGTCCCTGTGTTACCTGTCCCCTGTCCCTGTGTCCCTTGTGTCACATGTCCCCCTGTCCCTGTGTTTTGCGGAGATAAACAAAACTCCACAACTTTGTGAAAGTTGTAATCCTGGTATGTTTATTGCATGCGGAGATTACTCTCCTTAAAAGACATGCATACTTTTGGGGATTTCAGGTCCTTTTTTATCTCCTTCTCAAATACATGTGCATACAATTTCACATTAGGTTCATACTTATTCATTTTTATGAATTTCACATGACATTTGCCGCTAGTTCTTCTTTATCAGAAAGAATTCCTTGGTCAAGTTGACCTGCTCTCACAGCCTACTCTGTTTCCCCCCCCTTATCTCTGTCCTTCACTGCATCAGTTCCTCTGAGCCCAGGCTTTTGCAGTCAGGCTAAACAGCTATGTTTTCAAACCACAGACCAACTCAAAGATGTATATTTCACCTAAATCAAAATGGATTTCTACTCTGGAGAATTTCTACTCTGTCTCACCCGTGTCCCTCCCCTGATGGATTTGTGTCCTGTCCCCTGCAGGCGGCACGTTCCCAGCAGGCCATCGCGGCGCAGCGCGGGGAGGTGGCGCTGGTGGAGCGAGCGCAGCGGGTGCAGCTGCAGGAGCAGGAGGTCGGGCGGCGCCGCCAGGAGCTCGAGGCCACCGTGCGCAAACCGGCTGAGGCCGAGCGCTACCGGCTGGAGCGGCTGGCCGAGGCACAGCGGTGAGACACCGCCCCTTTAAGGGTGGCCACACCTCTCTGGGGATGAGCCACGCCCTCCTCTGCTAGGGCGTGGTGGTGTTCTGGGGGGTCACACCCATTGCCCTTTTAAGAGAAGTGTTGCCCTTTTAAGAAGCAACACCCTCACCGTGGTGGGTCCCACCAGTTTGGGTGGAGTCATTGCCCCTTTAAGAGAAGCCCCGCCCCTTAAAGCGAGTCACACTCCTGATTGGCCCCACTGGTAAAGGTGAAGCCATTGCCCCTTTAAGAAGGAGCCACACCCTCACCCAGTTAGGCCCAGTGGCAGTTTAGGGTGTCGCACCCATTGCCCTTTGAAGAGAAGTACTGCCCCTTCAAGGAGAAGCCTCACCCTCACCTTGGTGGGTCTCCCTGTTTTGGTAGGGCCATTGCCCTTTTAAGAGAGGTGTCGCCCCCTTTAGGAGAAGCCCTGGTGAGTCCCACTTGTAAAAGTGAAGCCGTTGCCCCTTTAAGAGAAGTGCTGCACTGTTAAGACAAAGCCATGCCCTCTCCCAGTCAGCTGTGATCCTGTTTTTGAGGGATACCACCAGTTTGGGTAGAGCCATGGCTCCTTTAAGAGAAGCATCACCCTTTTAAGGAAGAGCCACGCCCCCATCATGGTGAGTCCCACCAGTTTGGGTGGAGCCATTGTCCCTTTAGAAGAAGCCCTACTTGTTACAGTGAGTCCTCTTCCTGGTGGGTCCCTTCCTCAAGGTGAAGCCATTGCACCTTTAAGAAGCAGCCACACCCTTTCCCAGTCAGCTGTTGTGGAATTTTGTTGGGTTCCACCAGTCTGGGGAGAGCTGTTGCCCCTTTAAGGAGAAGCCACACCCTCACCATCATGGGTCACATGAGTTTGTGTGAAGCAATTGCCCCTTTAAAGATAAGCCCCACCCCTTGAGGTGAGCAACACTCTCACTGTGGTGTGTCCCACCACCTTGGGTAAAGCCACGCCCCTTGAGAAGCCACGCCTCCTCCCAGTCAGCCACCAGCACACCTTAGTGGGCCCCACCATTCTGTTTTGTAGTCATGGCCCCTTTGATAGACACATTGCCCAGCTGGCTGCTGTCATTGCCCCTTAAAGACCCATTGCCCTTTTTAAGAGAAGCCACGCCCTCTTCAAATAAACCACACCCCCACTCTGGTGAACCCACTCCTATTGCCCAATTGTCCCTTTAAGAACGGCACTGCCCCTTTAAGCGCAGCCCCACGCCCTGACTTGGCGCCCCCTACAGGACGCAGGTGCTGCTGCAGGCGGAGGCCGAGGCCGAGGCCCTCAAGGTGAGTCTGGGGCGCCCGGGGGGGTTTGGGGGGTCCCAGGTGGATTTGGGTGGCCCAAAGTAAGGTTTGGGGATCCTAGGTGAGATCTGGGGGGTTCTGAGAGGATTTTGGGGTGCCCAGTTGGACTTTGTGGCCCCAAATCTGGGAATTTTTGGATTCCCTGGGGGATTTTTGGCTCTCACAGAATTTCAGGGGGTCCTGATCCTGTTTTGGGGCTCCCAATCCCATTTTCAGAGGTCCTGCCCTCCTTTCCAGGACTCCTATCCTGTTTTGGGGTTCTCAATCCCATTTCCCATGTCCCCAATGCTCTTTCAAGTCCCTGATCCCGATTTTGGGTTCCCAGTCCCATTTCTGATGTCCCCGATCCTGTTTTGGGTCCCCAATCCCATTTCATGTCCCTGATCCTCTTTTGGGTCCCCTATCCTGTTCCTGGGTCCCCAATCCCATTTCCACTGTCCCCAGTCCTGTTTTGGGTCCCCCCATCCCATTTTGTGTTCCCGATCCCATTTTGGGTCCCTGATCCTATTTTGGGGTTCCCAATCCCATTCCTGGGGTTCTATCCCTGGTTTTGGGTTCCTGATCCTGTTTTTGGGGGTTCTGTCCCTATATTGGGTTCCTGATCCCATGTCAATGTCCCCAATCCCATTTCACATCCCTGATCCCATTTCCAATGTCGCCAATCCTGTTTCATGACTCCAGTCCCATTTCCAATGTCCCCAATGCCATTTTAAGTCCCCAGACCCAATTTTGGGTTCCCAGTCCCATTTCTGATGTTCCCAACCCCATGTCCATGTCCCCAGTCCCATTTTGTGTCCCTGCAGCTGACGGGCACTGCCCACGCTGCGGCCATCATGGCCTCTCATGCCTGTGCCTGGGTTCCCAATCCTGTGTCATGTCCCTGATCCCATTTTTGGGGGTTCTGTCCCCATTTCGTGTCCCCAGTCCCGTGTCAGTGTCCTCAATCCCATTTCCAATGCCCCCAATCCCATCTTGGTGTCCCCAGTCCCATATTGTGTCCCCACAGGTGACGGGTGCTGCCCATGTCACAGCTGTGGCCTCTCATGCCCATGCCTGGGTTCCCAATCCCATTTCCCATGTCCCAAATCCCATTTTTGTGTCTCCAATCCCATTTCCCATGTCCCCGCAGGTGATGGGTGCTGCCCGTGCCGTGGCCGTGGCCTCTTGTGCCCATGCCTGGGATCCCAATCCCATTTCCCATGTCTCTAATCCCGTTTCCGATGTCCCCAATCCCATTTTGGTGTCCCCAATCCCATGTTAGTGTCCCTGCAGGTGACGGGTGCTGCCCGTGCCGCGGCCATGGCCTCTCATGCCCATTCCTGGGTTCCCAATCCCATTTCCCATGTCTCTAATCCCGTTTCCCATATCTCTAATCCCGTTTCCGGTGTCCCCAATCCCATTTTGGTGTCCCTGCAGGTGACGGGTGCTGCCCGTGCCGCGGCCGTGGCCTCTCGTGCCCATGCCTGGGTTCCCAATCCCGTTTCCCATGTCTCTAATCCCGTTTCCGATGTCCCCAATCCCATTTTGGTGTCCCCAGTCCCATTTTGGTGTCCCCGCAGGTGACGGGTGCTGCCCGTGCCGCGGCCGTGGCCTCTCGTGCCCATTCCTGGGATCCCAATCCTGTTTCCCATGTCTCTAATCCCATTTCCGGTGTCCCCAATCCCATTTTGGTGTCCCCGCAGGTGACGGGTGCTGCCCGTGCCGCGGCCGTGGCCTCTCGTGCCCGCGCTGAGGCCGCGGCGGCTGCGGCCAAGGCCGAGGCCTTTGGGCAGTTCCAGGACGCGGCCGTGGTGGATCTGGTGCTGCAGAGGCTGCCCCAGGTGGGGACACTGGGGACACTTGGGGGGTGACACTCTGGGGATACTTGAGGACACTAGGGACACTTTAGGGATGTTTTGGGGATGCCTGGGGAAGTTTTGGGGGCACTTGGGGACGTTTTGGGGGGACTTGGAGACATTTTGGGGACATTTTGGGCACACCTGGGGACACTTTGGGGGATGTTCTGGGGACATTTGGCGACACTGGGGACACCTGGGAACACTTTGGGGATATTTAAGGACACTAGGAACACTTTAGAGATGTTTTGGCAACACCTGGGGACACTTTTGGGGATGTTTCGGGGACACTTGGGGACACTTACAGACATTAGGGACACTTTAGGGGTGTTTTGGGGTTGTTTTGGGGACATCTGGGAACACTTTCGGGGATCTTTTGAGTACACCTGGGGATGTTTGGGGGGCACTTGGGAACACTTTGGGGACATGTTGGGGGGTATTTTGGGGGCACTTTGAGGACTCTTGGGGACATTTTGTGAACACTTGGGGACACTTTGGGGGTGTTTTGGGCACACCTGGGGGTGTCTTGGGGACACTTTGGGACACTGGGGACACTTCGGGCATGTTTTGGGGACACCTGGGGATGTTTTGGGAGCACTTGGGGACACTTTGAGGACATTTTGGGAATGTTTTTGGGACACCCAGGAACACTTTGAGGACATTTTCAGGATGTTTTGGGGACACTTGGGGAATGTTTTGGGGACACTTGGGGATCCCTGATTTTGGGGTTGATTTTAGGGATACCTGAATTGGGGACAGGAATTTGGGGATCCCAGGAATGTTGCTGATTTTGAGATCCCTGATTTTGGGATCCTGGATTTGGGGCTGATGTGGGAATCCCCAATTTGGGGCTGAGGATCCTGGATTTGGGGCTGATTTTGGGGCTGATGTGGGAATCCCCAGTTTGGGGCTGATTTTGGGGCTGGTTTTAGGATCCTAGGTTTGGGGCTGATTTGGGATCCCTGATTTTGGAATCTCTGATTTGGGGCCAATTTCAGGGCTGATTTTGGGATCCTTGTTTTGGGGGCTGATTTTGGAATCACTGATTTTGGGATCCCCGATTTGGGGCCAGTTTTGGGGTTGATTTTGGGATCCCGTTTGGGGCAGGTGGCCGAGGCGGTGGCGCAGCCGCTGCTGGGGACGCGCCGGGTGACGCTCGTGGGCGGCTCCGGGGCCGTCGGGGTGGCCAAAATCCCCTCGGAAATCCTGGATTTGGTCACGCGGCTGCCAGGGGCCGTGGGGGCGCTGGCCAGGGGCTCCCAGGTGAGATGGGGGAATTCGGGGTCCCAGGTGGATTTGGGGGGTTCCAGGTGGATATTTGGGGGATTTTGGGGGGTCCTAGATAGAGTTTGGAGCATCCCAGGTGTATGTTAGAATGAATTTTGGGGGATTTAGGGGGTCCCAGGGAGAAACTGGGGTCTCTGAGTGGATTTTGGGGGGTCCCAGATGGATATTGGGAAATTTTGGGGGTTCCTGGATGGGTTTGGAGAGTCCCAGATGGGGTCTGGGGGAGTCCCTGAGGTGATTTGGGGGGTCCCATGTGAGATTTGGGGTGAATTTTGGGGTTCCCAGGTGGATTTTAGGGTGAATTTGGGGGATCTGGGGGAGCCCAGGGGCATTTTGGGGGGTGCCCAATGGATTTTGGAGGTCCCAGGTGAGGTTTGGGGGTCCCGTTTGGATTTTGGGGTGAATTTGGGCAGTCCTGGATGGGTTTGGGGGCCCCAGGTGAGATTTGGGCTGAATTTGGAGGAATTTTGGGGATCCCTGGGGGAAGGTGACACCCCCAGGTCCCCCCTGTCCCCCCAGGTGACCCCGACGGAGCCCGAGGGTGGCACCGGAGCCACTGAAACGTCTCAAAATTCCCCCAAAGTGTCCCTGAGTGCCACCCCCCAGTGACACCAAAGTGTCCCCAAATGCCACCACCCCCCAGAGCCACTGGGACCCTGCTGTGTCCCCAAAGTGCCACCCAAGTGCCACCACCCCCTGATGCCACCGCATCCCCAAAGTGCCACTGGTGGCTCCTGAGGCCACCAAGGTGCCACCAGCCCCAAAGTCCCTTTGTCCCCAGAATGCCACCATGCCTTGCATGTCCCCAAAGTGCCACTGCTGCAGTGTCAGCATGTCCCCAAAGTGTCCCCTAAATGTCCCTGTGGTGCCACTGTCCCAAGGTGCCACCTTGTCTCTTAAGTGTCCCAGAAGTGCCACCACCCTCCGGTGTCACTTTGTCCCTGAAGTGCCACACCCAAATGTCATCGTGTCTCTGAAATGTCCCCAAGGCGCCACCCCCAAATGTCAGTACATTCTCAAAGTGTCCCCAAGGTGCCACCACCGCCCCCATGTCCTGTGTCCCCAGACTGCCACCACTGCAGTGTCACCCTGTCCCAAATGTCCCCAAGGTGCCACCTTGTCCCCGAAGTGCCCCCACTGCAGTGCTGTGTCAATAAAGTGTCCCCAAAGTGCCACTGCCCCCAGTGTCACCTTGTCAATAAAGTGTCCCCAAGGTGCCACCACAGCAGTGTCCCTGTGTCCTTTAAGTGCCACCAGCCCTGCAGTGTCCCCAAAGTGCCACTGCATCCCCAAAGCGTCACTCAGGTACCACCATCCTCCCATTCATCATGTCCCAAATGTGCCCCAAGGTGCCACCACCTCCCAATGTCACCTTGTCCCCAAAGTGTCCCTAAAGTGCCACCATCCCTTGCATATCCCCAAAGTGTCACCCTTGAATGTCATCATGTCCCCAAAGTGCTGCCACCCCCCATGTCCCCATTCCCTCCAAGTGCCCACCTTGTCCCTTGTCCCCAAGGTGTTCCCTAAGTGCCACCACCCCCGTGCCACCCCAATGTCCCCAACCAGTGATGTTCCCATGCTGCCACCACCGGAGCCACTGACAAGGGGACACCCTGCAGACGCTGTGGGGAGGGGAGGGGACAGGTGACATCGGGGACCTCTCAGAGTGACCCCAGGTGACAATGGGGACCCTGGAGAGGAACCCAGGTAACACTGGGGACCTTCAGGTGGGGACATGGGGATCTCCAAGGTGACACTAAAATGACCCCAGGAAATCCTAAAGTGACCCTGGACTCTCCAGGTGACCCCAAGGTGACATCGGGACCTCCAGGTGACAAAGGTGACAATGGGGACCCCTCAGCTGGGGACATGGGGACACCCCAGGTGACCCTGAAGTGATGATGAGACGCCCCCAGGTGACACTGGGACCCTCCAGGTGACTCTAAAGTGACCCCAGGACCTCCCAGGTGACCCTGAGGTGACACCAAGACCCCTCCCAGTGACCCCCAAGGTGACAATGAGACCTTCCAGGTGACACCAGGGTGACCCTGAAGTGACACCAGAGACCCTCCAGGTGACATTGGAACCCCTGAAGTGACACCCAGGTGACAGTGGGGACCCTCAGGAGGGGACACTGGGACCCCCCCCAAGTGACCCCACACCCCCCAGGTGACCCCAGGACCCTGCAGGTGACACCGGAAGTGACACGGGAGGTGACACAGGTGACACCCGCGGTGGCTTTTCCATCCCGAGTTTATTCTGGACCCGGGGGCGACTTTTCAATATGAAAAACAAAAGAAACGGGAAAAAAACAAAAACATCCAAAAATGGGAGAGAGCGACCGGACACCGGGAACGGCGACGGAATCGGGGAGAAACTGAGGGGAAATGGGAAAAACGGACAAGAATGGGGAAAAACAAATAAAAATGGGGAGAAACTGACAAATAATGGGGAAAAAGGAACAAAAATTGGGAAAAAAATGAACAAAAATTGAGGAATATGAACCCAAAGTAGAGAAAAATGGTTCAAAAAATGACTGAGCAAAAATCGGGAAAAATTAACAAAAAATTGGAAGAAAGGACCCCAAAGTTGGGAAAAAGGAATGGAATTGGGCTGAGAGTGAGCAAAAACGGGAAAAAAGAGCAAAAATTGGAAAAGTGGAAAAAAAGACTAAAAATGGGGGAAACTGACCAAAAACGAGGAAAATTGGTTGAAAATAATCAAAAATGAGGAGACTTAAATGAGAGGGAAATGAACCAAAAAAGGGGGAAAATGACAAAAAATATGGAAAATGACAAAAAATTGGGAAAAAAACATTCAAAACTTAGGAAAAATTACAAAAAATATTGGGAAAATGGAGCCAGAGTGGGGTGGGGGAGGGGACAGGAGGCCGTGGTGGCAGCGGGGGAGGGGCAGAGGTGATGATGATGATGATGAAGGTCAGCAACTCTTCCAAGATGAGGCTGAAGGTCAAGAGCTCTTGGAGGCTCTTCCATGATGAGGATGATGGTGGTCAAGGCCAAGTGACCAACCCTGATGAAGGTCAAGGAATCTTCCATGAGGATGATGAAGGTCAGCAGCTCTTCCACGATGAGAGTGAAGGTCAAAAACTCCTGGAGGCTCTTCCATGATGAAGGCGATTATGATGAAGGTCAAGGCCAACTGACCAGCCCCGATGGAGACCAAGGGCTGAGGATGATGAAGATCAAAGACTCTGCAAGGACCACGATGAAGGCCAGGAACTCCTGGAGGCTCTGTGAGGAGGAGGATGATGAAGGTTGGGGAGCCATTGATGATTCTTTGATGAAGACCATGATGAAGGTTGGGGACTCCTTGACAATGATGAACCTTGGGGATCCTTTAACGATGAGGGAAATTGGAAGCTCTGACCATGATCAGGATTGGAGACTCTTCAATGATGATGGGGACTGGAGACTCTTCAAGAATGACCATGATGAAGGTTGGGGACTGTGAGGACAACACTGAAGGCTGGGGACTCTTCAAAGATGATGATGAAGGTTGGGAACTCTTCAGTGCTGATGAAAACTGGGAACTCTTCAAGGATGAAGACGGCAGAAATTGGGAGCTCTGACCATGATCAGGATTGGAGACTCTTCAAGGATGACAAAGACCAAGAACTCATTGATGATGATGATGAAAGCTGGGGACTCTTCATGGATGGCAATGATGAAGATTGGGGGATTCTTCAAAGATGGTGAAACTTGGGGACCACGAGGACAACGCTGAAGGCTGGGGACTCTTCCAGGATGAAGATGATGAAGGTTGAAGACCACGAGGACAACGCTGAAGGTTGGGTGGGGACTCCGCTGCTGCCGCCGCCGATGGCCAAGGCCAACACTGACGATGATGAAGGACGATGACACCGAAGGCGCCGCCCGCCGGTTGACGCCTCTCTGGGACAACACACCAGGAAAGGGAGGAGCAACACTGCCAAGGACTGGGACCTCTGGAGAAACCCCTCAGGCCTCCTCTTCGGCCTCCTCGCCGAAATCCTCCTCCTCCTCGGCCGTGGCGTCCTGGTACTGCTGGTACTCGGACACGAGGTCGTTCATGTTGCTCTCGGCCTCGGTGAACTCCATCTCGTCCATGCCCTCGCCCGTGTACCAGTGCAGGAAGGCCTTGCGCCGGAACATGGCCGTGAACTGCTCCGAGATGCGCTTGAAGAGCTCCTGGATGGCCGTGCTGTTGCCGATGAAGGTGACGGCCATCTTGAGGCCGCGCGGCGGGATGTCGCACACGGCCGTCTTCACGTTGTTGGGGATCCACTCCACGAAGTAGGAGCTGTTCTTGTTCTGCACGTTCAGCATCTGCTCGTCCACCTCCTTCATGGACATGCGCCCGCGGAAGACGGCGGCCACGGTGAGGTAGCGGCCGTGCCGCGGGTCGCAGGCGGCCATCATGTTCTTGGCATCGAAGACCTGCTGGGTGAGCTCGGGCACGGTGAGGGCGCGGTACTGCTGGCTGCCCCGCGAGGTCAGCGGCGCGAAGCCGGGCATGAAGAAGTGCAGCCGCGGGAAGGGCACCATGTTGACGGCCAGCTTGCGCAGGTCGGCGTTGAGCTGGCCGGGGAAGCGCAGGCAGGTGGTGACGCCGCTCATGGTGGCCGACACCAGGTGGTTGAGGTCGCCGTAGGTGGGCGTGGTCAGCTTGAGGGTGCGGAAGCAGATGTCGTAGAGCGCCTCGTTGTCGATGCAGTAGGTCTCGTCCGTGTTCTCCACCAGCTGGTGCACGGACAGCGTGGCGTTGTAGGGCTCCACCACCGTGTCCGACACCTTGGGCGACGGCACCACGCTGAAGGTGTTCATGATGCGGTCGGGGTACTCCTCGCGGATCTTGGAGATGAGCAGCGTGCCCATGCCCGAGCCGGTGCCGCCGCCCAGGGAATGGGTCAGCTGGAAGCCCTGCAGGCAGTCGCAGCTCTCGGCCTCCTTGCGCACCACGTCCAGCACAGAGTCCACCAGCTCGGCGCCCTCCGTGTAGTGACCCTTGGCCCAGTTGTTGCCGGCACCGCTTTGGCCTGGAACAGGGGAGGAAGGCTTGGGGTGGGATCTTCAAACCACCTTTGGGGACCTTAAAACCACTTTAGAGAACCTTTACACCACCTCTGGAGACCTTATAACAATCTTTAGGGACTTCAAGAACCTCAAAACCACCTTGAGGAGCCTCTAAGTCTCCTCCTTTGAGGAACTTCGAACCATCCTTGAGGATCTTCAGGACCCACAAACCTGAAGATGCTCAGAGCACCTCTGGGGACCTTAGGAAGCTTCAAACCATCTTTAGGGACCCTTAACCCAACCCTGAAGACCCTTGAATCACTTTTGGGGATGATGAGCACCTCCATTTCCACCTTGAGAATGTTCAAGCCACTTTGGGGACCTTCAAATCATCTCTGAGGACCTTTGAGGACCCCTGACCCCCCCCAGCTCAGCCTCTCCCTCTGGTGACCCTTGGCCAGGGGCAGACAAGGAGGAATTGGGTTGGGGTCTTCGAGGTGACTTTGGAGACCCTCAAAACACCTTTGGGAACAAGAAGAATCTTTTAATCACTTTTGGAGACCTTCAGATTAATGCTGAAGACTTCAGGGACCCTCAAACCATATTTGGGGACCTTCAAAGCATTTCTGAGAACCTTGGGCAACTCTTTACCACCTATGGGACCTTCCTCCCACTTCTGGGGACCTCAAGCACTTCAGTCCCCAACTGGGGACCTCGATCCCACCTGTGGGGACCTCAGGGACCTTTAACTCCACCTTGGGGATACTTGGAATCCTTAACCCCTTCTTTGGGACCTTCAAGCCCACATTGGGGGGACACTTGGGGACCTTCACATCACCGCTGGGGACACCCGAGGACCTTCAAACCCTCCTTGCTGGGATGCTTGGGGACCTTCATGCCACCCTTGGCACCTCCAACCCCACCCTCGGGACACCTGGGAACCTTTATCTCCCCTTTGGGGCCCTGCCATCCCTTCAGGCCACCCCCTGCTGTCCCAGATACAGCCCAGGTGCGTCCCCAGGTGTGTCCTGAAGTGAACTTGCTGCCCCTCGAGAGTCCCCAAGTGTCCCCAGGTGTTCCCCAAATACCCAGATATCCCTAATGTCCCTCAGCAACCCCCAGGTGTACCCAAGATACCCTCAAGTGTCTACAGATGTCCCCAAGACTCCCAGCTATGTCCCAAAATGTCCCCAAGTGTGTCCCAGGTGGCTGCAGCTCTCCTTGCCATGTGCCAAGAGTCCCCAGATGTCTTCAGCATCCCCAGGTGTCCCTGAGAAGCCCCCAGGTGTCCCAGATGTCCCTGGGTGTGTCCCTGGTATCTCCAGATGTCCCACAGGTGTCCTCAATGTCCCCAGGAATCTCCAGGTGGTCCAGGTGTGTCCCCAGATATCCCCAGGTGGCCCAAGTGTGTCCCCAGATGGCTCAGGTGTCTACCACATGTACTCAAGTATGCCACCAGGTGTACCCCAATGTCCCCAAGCATGTCCCAAATGTCCCCAAGTGTTCCCCCAGATGTCCCAGGTGTGCCCCCAGGTGTCCCCAAGTGTGCCCCAATGTCCCCAGGAGTGCTCAATGTCCCCAGTCGTGCCCAAGGTGTCCCAGATGTTCCAGGTGTGTCCCAGGTGTGTCACTCACCAAACACAAAGTTGTCAGGCCGGAAGATCTGCCCGAAGGGGCCGGAGCGCACAGAGTCCATCGTGCCGGGCTCCAGATCCACCAGGATGGCCCTGGGCACGTATTTACCCCCTGGGGACAGCAAAAACGTCACCAAAACCCAGAGAATTCACCCCAAAACCACCAGCATGGCCCTAGGCACGGATTAACCTCCTGGGGAGTGACCAAAACCCAGAGAATTCAACCCAGAACCAGAAGAGTTACGTCCAAACCAGCCAAAATTAACCCAAAACCATCCAGAATCGTCCTAAACACATCCATATCAACCTATAAACACCTGAAATCACCCCAAAATACTCAGAATTACCCTAAACCCACCAAGAAACACTACAAACCAACCCGGAAACAAACCAAACCAACCCAGAATTACCCCAAACACACTCCAAAACACCCAGAATTACCCCAGAACAACCCAGAATCATCCCCCAAACCAAGAGAATTGCTCCCAAAATGCTCAGACTTAACCCAGAAATACCAGAAATAGCTCCAGCAAAACCCAAAATCACTCCTAAAATGCCCCAAACCACCCCATGTGACAGCAACACACCCAAAATCACCCCAAAGTCTGAAATCACCCTAAAACACCTGAAATGACACCAAAAATCCACCCCCAAAAAAGCCCAAATCACCCCCAAACCACCCGGAATTACCCCATAAATAAGTGGAATCACCTCAAAACCACCACAAATCCACCTAAGTTCACCACCAAACACCCACAATCACGCCCATATCATCCCAAAATTACCCCAAATCTCCTGGAACCAACCCAAAACCACCCAAATTCACCCCAAACCCAGGAAAAATACCCCAAAAATGGCTCCAAATCCACCCAAATGAACCCCAAAACCCCCCAAATTACTCCAAAATGTTTAAAATAATTCCCAAACCATCTAAAATCACCTCAAACCCACTTCAGGCCAGCCCCAAAATAGTCAAAATCACTCTGAATTACCCAGAATTGCCCCAGAACACCCCAAAATGACGTAAGAGCAATCCAGACCTCCCTAAAACTCAACCCTAAAGGACTTCCAAAACTCCCAAATTCACCCCAAAAACAGCCCTAATAACCTAAACCACCCAAAATCACCCCCAAACCAGCCCCAAAATCTCCCAAATTCAACCCCAAAACCCCCAAATTAATTCCAAAGCCTCTCAAAATTACCCCCATATCATCCCAAACCAATGCCAAAATAACCCCAGAAGTGTCAAATTCACCCCAAAATTCCCCAAAGCCACCCCAAAAACTCCCCCACAGCAACCCAGAATGGGACATGGGGACAGGGAGGAGACAAATGACAATGGACAGGTGACACCAAGGACAGGGCACAGGAGACAGGGTGGCACACAGGGTGACAAAGGACAGGAAACACCAGGGGAATATTAGGGACAAGGTGACCATGGACAGGTGACATGGCGTGGGCGGGGACACTGGGGACAGGAGGGGGGTCAGAGAGGACAAGTGACACTGGAGATACGTTGGGGACAAGATGTGGGTGACAGGAACATGGTGACACTGGGAAGGGACAGGATGCAGCGACACCAGGGGGGGTCACAGGGTGACACAGCAGGTGGCATGGACACCAGGGGACCCCCAGGATTGAAGGTGACAGGGGACAAGGTGACACTGCGAGGTGGCAATGGACAAGTGACACTGGTGGGTGACAGGACAAGGTGACCCCATAGGTGTGACAAAGGAGGGGGTGGCACTCAGGGATACAGGAGATGAGGTGACACAGGGCATGGACAAGGACAAAGTGACACTGGGACGTGACAGCAGGACAAAGGTGACACTAAGGGGGAAGCACGGGGACACAGTGACAAAGGGATGACAAAGTGGTAACATACAGGACAGTGACACTGGGGAGGGTGACACTGGGGACACGATGACAATAGGGGGGAAGAGGTGACACAGGAGGTTGACAAAGCAAGAAGTGACAATGTGGGGGTGAGGAAGTGACACTGGAAGTGACAAAGTAACAGCAGAGGAAGGTGACAAAGTGACATGGGGGGGTGACAGTGGGACAAGTGACACCCACACTGAGTGACACCATGACGGGGGGAAGGGCAGAGGAGCCCCAGGGGGTGTGGCAGCTGTCCCCAGGTGCCACCTGCTGTCCCCACCTGTGGCCTCGTTGTAGTAGACGCTGATGCGGTCCAGCTGCAGGTCGCTGTCCCCATGGTAGGTGCCCGTGGGGTCGATGCCGTGCTCGTCACTGATCACCTCCCAGAACTGTGGGGACAAGGGGACAGCTTGGGGAAGGCTCAGGGACAGCCCAGCAGTGGGTTTGGGGCAAAAAACCAGGAATTTGGGGAAAAAACCTGAAGGTTTTGAGAGGAAAACTAGGGATTTGAGGGAGGGAAAGGAGGGGGGGGCGTGGTCAGGGGGTTAAAAGGGGTGGAGCTTGTGGAGGAGTGAGATAAGCTGGGCCACACCCAATTTGTGACAAATAGGACCCGAGTTGGGGGGAAAATGAGCATTTGGAGAAGAAAAAATTGTGATTTTAGGGGCAAATATGGGGATTTTGAGGTCAGAAATGGGGGCTTGGGGACATGGTGAGGGTTAAAAGGGGCAGGAGATAAAGAGGGGTGTGGTCAGGTGGGCCAGGCCCACCCCAGACTCAATTCTGGGGAAAAAATTAGAATTTTGATCAAAAAAAATTGGGGATTTTAAGGTGAGAAATGGGAGTTGGGGGGCTAAAAGGGGTTGAGCTTAAGGAGGGGTGAAGGCAGTTGGACCACACCCACTTTGCTACACCTGGGACCCCGTTTTGGGGGACAAAATGAGGATTTGGGGCTAAAAAAATTCAGGAATTTTAAAATACGAATTTGGGATTTAAAAGTATGAAATAGCAGTTGAGGAGTATCAAAAAAATCTAGATTTTAAGGAAAAAAATTTGGGATTTAGAGGGGAATTGATGGTGTAGTCTGGGACAGAGCGGCAGAGCTTGTGGAGGAGAGGAGCTACGCCCACTTTGCTGCACCTGGGATTTATTTTGGGGACAAAAAAGGGGACGTTGGGATCTTATAAAGAACAAAATGTAAATTCAGCCCCACCCACCTCCCCTAGGCAATGTTTTTGGGGGTAAAATAAAGGATTTAGGGATTTAAAGGAATTTGGGGGTGTGGCCAAGTGACAAGCAGGATCCACAAGACCTCCCCCAGAGCCAGGACCTTTTTTTGGGTTGAAAAATGGGGATTTTGGGGGGCATTTAAAATAAATTAAGGTTGTGCTCAGGTCCTAAAAGGGTGTGGCTACAATCCACAGCCACTCTACGACCCTTTTTGGGGGGAAAAAAGGCGATTTTTAGGATTTTTTCGTGGTTTGGAGGTGTGGGGAAGGGAAGCGGGCGGGGCTCTGTGAGGGAGGGGGCGTGGCCAGTGCGGTGCAGTCCCGCTCCCCAAAAAGGGCGGGAACGCGGGAAAATGGCGGCAACTCGTTAAAATTCAAACCAACCCCTCCAAAATTGGCTCCTTGCACCCCAAATCGGCTTTTTCATCAACCCAAAATCAGGATTTTTCATCACCCAAATTCGGCTCGGAGAGCTTCAAGTTTTGTATTTGAAGTTTAGATTCCAAAAATGCGGGGGATTGGGTTCAAATGGGCCGGGGCAGGGGGGGTGGGGGGGGCAATGCAGCGTGAGAGGAAAATGAGGTGAAAAAAGGGGACTTTGGGGTTAAAGATGAGAAATGCGGCAAAAAATGTGGATTTTGGGACTGTGGAGAGAGGAATGGCATTCAAATATTGATTTGGGGTAAAAGCCATTAATTTTGAGATTGTTATTTCAAAAAAAAAAAAAAAAGAGGTATAAAATGATGATTTGAGATAAAAATGGTGGTTTGGAGATTATGAGCGAAAAATATATTTAAAAACCAACAATTTTGGGTAATAGAAGAAAAAAGGGTTTAAAAATATTAATTTTTGGAGGTGAGAGAGAAAAGAGGATTAAAACCCAGCAATGTGAGGTAAAAAAAAAGAAACACAGGCTTAAAAATGCTGATTTTGGAGATGAGGAAGGCAATTGGTTAAAACCCGGTGTTTTAGGGGGTTGTGAGCAAAAATGGGTTAAAAAATTGGAATTTTGGGGTTGATGGGACAAATAGGTTAAAAAAGGGCATTTTCAGGGAATTTAGGAAAGAAATACCTCCAAAAAAGTTCATTTGGGTTAAAAATGGAGATTTTGGGCAAAGAAAATGAGTTTAGAAAGTTCAAATTCGAATAAACAGCATTACAGAGTAAAAAAAAAAAGCAACTGCATTTTGGAGCCTTGAGAAACAGTGGGTTAAAAATTACGTTTTCTGAGAAAAAAATGTGAGTTTGGTGCAGAATTGAGAGTTTAGTGACAGGAATATATGGATTATAGGGAGAAAACGATATCTAGAGGTAAATATTGCGAATTTTGGGGTAAAAAAAACGGATTTGGGGCTAAACCACAATTTTTGAGCGTAAATTTAACCTGATAAATACCAGTATTTTCTGTACAGTAAAAACCGTTTTTTGGGCCTCAAAAATCGCAATTTGGGTTGAAAACCTCTTTCCCAAAGCTAAAAAAAAAATATCAACAACCACTTTTTAGGGTTAATAACTCTAATAAAGCGTTTTGGAGAACAAAGATTTTGGTGTGGGGCAGGAAATGGAAATGTTCATTTTGGGGGCAGGAAATGCGGTCTAGAGACACAAAGAGAGGGGGTTGGGGCTGAAAAGGGCGATTTTGAGACAAAAAGTAACATTTAAAAAAGAAAAAAAAAATTTAAATATGGGTTTAAAGAAGGCCCTTTTGTGGGTGAAGTGGATATTCAGGGGAAAACCCGGGTTTTTGAAGCAGCAAAAATGACATTCCAGTCTGAAGAACTGCAAATTCCGAGGCCTAAAATAATGCTTTTTTGGGCAAAACCCCACCAGTTTGTATTAAAAAAAAAAAAAAATAGAAAATGTTAGTTTTGGAGAAAAAACGGTGATTTTGAGGCAAGAAAAAAGCGATTTGGAAGCACAAAGCTGCGATTCTTCCCCCGACCCTCCATTTTGGGGCTGGAAACCTCCATTTTGGGGCTGGGAGCTCCCTCCGTGCTGCAGAAAATCCCCATTTTAACCCTAAATTCTACTTCTGGAAAATGAATCCAGTCCTTTTTCTGCTCAAAACTCCACATTTTGGGGATATGAATCTTGATTTTGGAGGGAAATGTTGTTTTGCAAAACAAAAGATGCTGAGCTGGAGCTCCGAAGCTCCATTTTGGGGCTGGGAAGAAAAAGGGTTTTGGGGCCAAAAAGCTGCATTTTAGCAGCAAAAAAAAACTTTCATCAATGAAAAAAATCCCTTAAATAAAAAAATTAACATTTTGAGAACTAAAATACACTTTTTTTAATATCAAGTCATATTTAGGCGTAAGAAGGGCATGTCAGTGAAAAAAGCTGATTCAAATTAAAAAACCCATCAGTTTTGCAGATTAATATTGCAATTTAAAGACCTTAAATCCACATTTAAGTAATAAAAAAACCCCTGCTTTTGTCATAAAACCCTGCAGTCTAAAACCTTAAAAATCCTTATTTTGCGGAAAAAAACCCTCCAATTTGGAACAAAATATAGGAACACACCTCTTATTTAGGGAATAAAAACCTTTATTGTGGATATTAAGCTGCTTTTTAGGGGGCTTAAATCTTCCCGTTTTCGGGTCTGACCCCTCCGGGCGTCACGCCCCGTTTGGGGGTCAAAAATCTTTATTTTGGGGCACAAAATCCGCTTTTTTTGATGTAAAATTGGACGGTTTTGCAGTGAAAATAGCCGATTTTAGGGGCGAAAATACCCAATTATGGGGTGAAAACAACCGATTGCAGACTGAAAAAGCAGCATTTAAAGTATGGTGCTTTAAAAACGAAAAACATCAGGTTTTAAATTTAATTATGAATATATTGTTGTGAAAAACCTAATTTGGAAGTTAAATCCTTTAATTTCGGGGCTCCTCGCCGCCATTTTGGCGCCTTCCCCGCCCATCCTCAGCCAGACCCCCTCGATAACGGGCAAAAAGTGCCATTCGCGGCCAAATCTTTGAAACAGTCATTTAAATTAAGATAAAATAGTAATATTTTCTTTAAACACCCCCAAAAAAAGGCGATTTTGGAGGCGAATTCGCCACGGTTCAGGGCCGCCGCCCTCAGCCGCCATTTTGAGGCCGCGTGCGAGGGGGGCGCGTTCAGCCACCGAAAATCCTCATTTAGCGACAGAATCTCCTGATTTTAACCCAAAACCCGCCCCATTCAGCACGGCCCTCTTCCCTCACAGGCGATTCTGTGGGGGGAAAACGCCGATTTTGGGCTAAAATCGCCCTGGTTTGGGTCACCCTTTGTCTTGGCGCGCGGGGGATGGGGGAGCTCTTAAAGGGGCAACGCCGCCGCGGCGGGGGATGGAGGCGGGGCCCGCCGCGCTCACCTTGGCGCCGATCTGGTTGCCGCATTGGCCCGCCTGGATGTGGACGATCTCCCTCATGGCGGCGGCGGAGTCTGGCGGGGGGGCTCGGGCCCACCCGGACGGCGCGGAGGCGCTCGGAAAACGGAATAAAAAAACGTAAAGAGGCGGCGCGGCCCCTTTAAGAGCGGAGTGAAGGCGCGAGCGCGACGGCGGTGAAAATGGCGGCAGCCACGGCCCCGCGCGCGCTCATATAGGACAAAGCCGGGGCTCCCATTGGTCGGCACCGCCCGCTTTCCATCCTTCTATTGGTTAATCGTGTTGTCAATCCAGCTTTCTGCGCTTCAATTGGTCTAAACCTCTCCTAAGCTCCTCCTACGGGCGCTCCGGTGCTCTCGGAGGACCATCCCGCCCAATCTCTGTGGTCTGGTGATGATCGACATTCATGACAGCCAATGGAAAGCGCGGATGGGCGTTGGCGCCCGGAGAGAGCGGCCAATGGGAGCCCGGGGGGCGGGGCCCGGCGGTGATGGCGCGGGAGGGGTGAGCGGGGGGGAGGGAAGCCGGGGCCGCTTTTGGGGTCCCTGAGGGAATTTTGGGGGAGTTTGGGGGGATTTGGGGTCCGGGTGGATTCTGGAATATCCTGGAGGGATTTGGAGGTGACAGCGGGGATTGGAGCGGTCCTTGGTGAGGACTGAGGGCATCGGGTGCAGTTTTGGGGAGTCCCTGAGGGAGATTTGAGGGGGTCTCTGACGGGGGATGGAGGTTTCTGAGGAAAGTTTGGGATCTCTGAGGGAAGTTTGTGGGCTTGGCTTGGCAATTTGGGGTTCCGGAGAGAAATTTGGGGGTTTCTGAGGGCAGCTAGGACTTGATGAGGGAATTTGCGGGTCCCTGAGGGAGGTTGGATGTGTCTGAGGGAGGTTTGGGGTCCGTGATGGAACTCAGGGTCCCTGATGGAACTCGGATTTCGTGAGGGAAGTTTGGACTCTCTGAGGGGGTTGAAGGGTCCTGAGGGGAGTTTGGGGCGCCCCTGATGTGAGTTGGGGTTTCTGTGCGGGAATTTGGGGTTCCTGAGAGACGTTTGAGTTTCCTGAGGGAAATTTGGGGTCCGTGACAGGGGTTGGTGGTTCTGTGAGAGAATTTGGGGTTCCTGAGGGGCGTTGGGGGTTCCATGAGGGGAGCTCAGCATTTGATGAGGGAATTTGGGCTCCCTGAGGTGTTTTGGGGGTTCTGTGAGGGAATCTGGGCTTCCTGAGGAAGGCTTGGAGGTCTCTGGGGGAGATTTTGGGTCTTTTGGGTGCAGTTTTGGGGGATCCTTGTGGGATTTTGGGTCATTTGGGTGCGGCTTGGGGAATTTTGGGAGGTCTCTGGGACATTTTGGGGGTCCCTGGGTTAGTTTTGAGTCTTTTTGGGGCAGTTTGGGAGGTCCCAGGCAGGGGGTTGGGGGCCTCTGGGGTGGTTTGGGTCCTTTGGGGGCAGCTTGGGGGTCTCCAGGTGATTTTTGGGGGTTCCTTGGAGAAATGGGGGGTGTTTAGGATGGACGTGGGGCAGTTTAGGGGGATTTTCGGGGGAATGGGAGTTCTGGGGGGAGGTCCCTGGGGTTGTTTTGGGGCATTTTGGGGGTTCCCGGGGGGGGGGGGGGTGTTGGGGATCCTTGGGGCAATTTGGGGGTATTTTTGGGGTCTTTGGGGAATTTTCGTAGGGTTTTGGGGCAGATTGTGGAATTTTGAAAGGGGTTTTGGGGCTCTTTGGGTTATTTTTGGGATCTTTGGGGGATTTTGGAGATCCCAAACTCCTCAGCCCCCCCACCCTCCTTTGCAGTGCCCTGGAGGATCCAGCTGTGCCCCCAGATGTTGAGGGCCCCCAAAAACACCTTCCCTGCTCCCAAAATGCCCCAGATGTGATTGGGGAGGGGTCAGATCCAGATGTTGGGGACCTGAAAACTCCCAAAGTGGCCCGAAACACCTCAGAGGCTCCAGATGTGGCAGCAGAAACCCCAAATCCAGATGTGCTATGGGCCAGAAATGGGCACCGGACACTTCAGGTGGACAGTGACACAGATGTGGAGGAGGAGGGGCCAAATCCAGATGTTGGGCCACAAAAATGGCTTAAAATGACCCAAAATGTGCCAGAAACTCCAGATGTGAGGCTACAAACCCCAAATCCAGATGTTCCATGGCTTAAAAGTGGGCATGGCACCCTGCTGGTGGAGAGCGACACAGATGTGGAGCAGGAGGAGGCTGATCCAGAAGTGGAGCCCCCAGAACGGCTGAAAATTACCCAAAACGTCCCAGAAACTCCAGATGTTGCAGGAAAGACCCCAAATCCAGATGTTTCAGGCCCAAAAATGCAACACAGGATGGAGCTTGTGGACAGTGACACAGATGTGGATGAGGATCCTGATGTGCAGCCCCAGAAAAGGCTTAAAGTGACCCAAAACATGCCTGGAATTCCAGATGTGGAGGTGGAAACCCCAAGTCCAGCTGTGACGGCGCCCAGAATTGGACACTGGAGAATCCTGATGGACAGCGACACAGATGTGGAGGGGGAGGAGGAGAATCCAGATGTGCAGCCCCAAAACGTGTCCGAAACTCCAGATGTGGCAGCAAAACTCCTGAATCCAGATGTTTCGGGCCCAAAACTCTGTTCTCAGATGCTGCTGGTGGACAGTGATACAGATGTGGAAGATGAAGTGAATCCAGATGTGCAGCCCCCCAAAAGCCTCAAAGTTACCCCAAACGTGCACAGAATTCCAGATGTGGAGGTGGCGACCCCAGATCCAGCTGTGGAAAGCCCCAAAATTGGCCATCAGACACTGGTGGAGAACAGCGACACAGATGTGGAGGATGATCCAGATGTGCAGCCCCCAAAAAGGCTCAGAAGGACTCAGCATTTGCCCAAAACTCCAGGTGGGCGATGGGGGACAGCAAATCCAGATGTTTCAGGCCCCACAAGCAGGAGTCAGATGCTGCTGGTGGACAGCGACACAGATGTGGAGGAGGATCCAGATGTGCAGCCCCTGAAAATGCTCAGAGCGACCCAAAACGTCCCTGAAACTCCAGATGTGGCTGCGAAGCCCCCAAATCCAGATGTTTCAGGCCCTGAAATCAGGTGCCAGGCATTCCTGGTGGACAGTGACACAGATGTGGAGGAGGAGGGGGAGGTGAATCCAGATGTTGAGACCCTAAAAAAGCTTGAAATGACCCAAAATGTGCCTGAAAGTCCAGATGTGGTGGCACAGACCCCAAGTCCAGATGCTGGCGTGCCCAAAAATGGGTGTCAGGCACTGCTGGTGGACAGTGATACAGATGTGGAGGAGGATGAGGTGAATCCAGATGTTCATCCTTCAAAAGGGTCGCAGAGGGGTCACGGGGCACTCCTGGATGACAGCGACACAGATGTGGAGGAGGAGGCAAATCCAGATGTTGGATCCTTAAAAAGACTGAAACCAGCCCCAAACCTGCCTGAAACTCCAGATGTGAGGCTGAAAATGCCAAATCCAGATGTTTCAGGCACAAAAAATGGGTGTGGGATGCTGCTGGTGGACAGCGACACAGATGTGGAGGAGGATGAGACAAGTCCAGATGTTCGGCCCTTAAAAAGACAGAAAATGACCCAAAATGTGCCCGAAACTCCAGATGTGCCCACACCGACCCCAAATCCAGCTGTTGGAGGCTCTGAATGTGGAGCCTTGGTGGGGGAGAATGACCCAGATGTGGAGGAGGACGAGGCTGATCCAGATGTTCCGCCCTCAAAAAGACAGAAGATTACCCAAAGTGTGCCTGGAACTCCAGATGTTGGGCTGAAACCCTCAAATCCAGATGTTGGGAGGCTCCAAAGGACTCAAAATGTAGCTGAAACACCAGATGTGGAGGGAGAGGAGGACGGGTGGGATCCACATGTGGCCACCCAGCTGTTCCTGCCCCCAAATCCAGATGTGAGGGAGGCAGAGATAGATCCAGATGTTGTGAGCCCAGAACGACTCAAAATGACCCAGAAGCCACCGGAAATTCCAGATGTGGAGGAGGAAGAGGAGTCAGATGCAAATGTGGCCACCCAGCTGTTCCTGCCCTCTCCAGATGTTGGGAGCCCAAAACGGCCCAAAACAACTCAGAACCCTCATAAAATTCCAGATGTGAAGGAGGAAACCCCAGATCCAGATGAGGAAGAACAAGAGTCAGATCCAGATGTGGCCACCCAGCTGTTCCTGCCTTCTCCAGATGCTGGGAGCCCAGAAGGCCCCAAAACTACCCCAAAGGACCCCAAAATTCCAGATGTAGAGGGGCTGCCCTCCCTGGATCCAGATGTGGCCACGCAACTGTTCCTGCCCCCCCATCCAGGTGTGGAGGACAGCCTAAATCCAGATGTTCTGGATCCAAAACAACCCGAAATGGCCTCAAGCGGCCCCAGAATTCCCATTGTGAAGGCAGAGACCCCAGATCCAGATGTGGAGGGGGAGGAGGACTTGGATGTGGCCACCCAGCTGTTCCTGCCCCCTGATCCAGATGTGGAGGGTGAAGGCCCCTCAGAACCAGATGCTGGGTCCGCAAAACCACCCAAAAGTCCCCTAAACCCACCCAAAATTCCAGATGTGGACATGGAGAGCCCAAATCCAGATGTGGGAGAGTCACTGAGGGGCCACAGGACGTTGCTGGGGGACGCTGATCCAGATGTGGATGAGGCGGGCCCAAATCCAGATGTGGCAGCCTCAAAAAGACCCCAAACAGCCCCAGAAGTCCCTGAAATTCCAGATGTGGAGGTGACCACCCCAAATCCAGATGTGGAGGGGCCAAGGAGCCCTGGCCTGAATCCAGATGTGGCCACTCAGCTGTTCCTGCCCCCTGCCCCAGATGTGGAACCCCCGGAAAGCCCCGAAAGGGCCCCGGATGAGCTCCAAGTTCCAGATGTGGAGGAGGCCCCAAATCCAGATGTTGAGGGTCCCCCAAGCCCCGCCCAGGAGGAAGCAGAAGCTCCGCCCACCCCGCAGGTGAATTTTGGGGGGCCCCGGGTGATTTTGGGGGTCTCTGGTCGATTTTGGGAGCCCCCCAGGGATTCGAGGGGGGAGGGGGGGTTCCAGGTGGATTTTTTGGGGTTCCCCGTGAACTGTGGGGGGTCCCAGGTGGGGTTTTGGGAGGTCCCAAGTGGGGTTTGGGCTTCCCAGTGGATTTTGGGAGACCCAGGGTGGTTTGGGGGGGTCTCAG